GTTTTCACACTGAAGAGAAGCAAGTTAAGGGCAACCCTCAGGCTGAATGAATCAGAATATGTGTTTAGCAAGGTCTCCAGCTGATTTGTTTTCCCATTAAAATTTGAGGAGCATTACTTTAGTGTGATGATACAAGCATAAATTTAAAGGGGTAGCCTCATAGTGATCCATAAGGGAAGGCAGGTATGGTAAAGAAAGGGGCATGGCACTGGGAATCCAAAAAACCTGGTAGAAATTTTTTATCAGTTACAACACTTAAATGGTTGTGAAATAATAAATATGAAAGCCTTGGTACATAGTAGATGCTTAAGAAATCATAGAATCTCTCCCTTGAAAGATTCCAAGGCTAGAAACTAGGGTATATCTGGCCTCTAGATCTGGTATTGTCATGGAACCATAGAGTTAGAAGGGACCTTCATATAGATACTATTTATTTTATCAGCTTTGTATTATAGATATAGAAACTAAGGCTCATAGTTAGACTGGAGATCAAGTTTTCTGAGCTCAGTGCTCTGCCTCAGCTTCTTCATTTGTAAAATTAAGAAAATAATACCCTCACTTACTTGTCTCCCAGGTGGCCTCTAATCTTACACAAGTATTCAAGAACTCTTTAAAAATGCAAGGTAAAAAAATGCAAGGTAAAATTATTATTGTTTGTTAATTCTAGATTGTGTTATGCATGTTGGAATTTGTAAGAGTTTCTTCCATCAAGCAAGTTGGAATAGGCTCATAGCTACTAAATTGTTCTAAATTCACACTTTTAGGAAAGAATAGTTTGGAACAATTGCTACTATTGTAATTACAAATTACAATAATCAGCTTATCATTAAACCCCTTAAATGTCTTTATAATAATATAGCCAAACCTCAGCAGATAACTTTATTTTACACTTGATCTTAACCAAAAGGCTGAGAAGCAATGGACTGTTTATTTTAATAATATAAAATTCCAAAAGAAATAAAAATATTTTCTATATAGTTTCTTATATTTAAGTTAAAGAGATTTACTCATATGAGACAGAAGGAAAATTTAGGGATGTCTCCTCTTTGTAACGACCTTAGTGATAGAATAAATATATTTATGAGAAAAGGAAACTTAAGTGGATATTCCTAAATCTGTTCTCAGTGAAAATGAGGTTACGACTCACAGCTGAAACAAAGAAAAAAGGTTCCCCGCACCCTTATATAATTGGCCCTTTACTTCAAGGTTTCTACTATTCTAAACGTTTCGTTCCCTTCTATCTTGCTAGTTTAACTTCCAGCATCTTCTTCCTTAAAGAGAAGGTAAGGTTCAGGATGCTCAGGGTAAGGGGTTTGTTTGTTTTGGAATGAGGCTGGAAGTTGGGCCAGGGAGACAGGTCAACAGCCGCTCAGCCCACTGAACTGGAAGAGTCTGGAGGCCTGGGTATTTGTTCTGCCACTGACCTCGAGTAAGTCATTTGATATCTGGGCTTTGGGTTCCCTCCCGAATGGAAGGTTGCATTAAGTTTCTTCTAGTTGTAAAAATCTGATTCTGTAGGTGGCCCTAGCACTAGCAGCTCTAAGCACAGCTAGAGAGGAAGGAAAATAGGAATTGGAAAGAAAACAAATGGGGAATGAGATATATGAAGTTGGGAATGGAAAAAAAGGTTAGAAGTGGGGCTTGACGGTTTGATGCCAAGAAATTGCCATCCCCAGGGTAGAAGTTGTCTAGTGGGAATGGAGATGAAAAGCTTTATTTCTATTTATTTTTACTTTTTTAGATCAACTATCACTTTGTGGTCAGAGTACACACCTAATGCAGCTGAATGGCAGAACAGCTTGTCCTATTGATGCAAGACAGGGCAAATTTCTCTGAGTCGGGGGTAGACTAAGTCCTGCACTGAGAAAAGTTCTTTGGCAGAGAGTGTAGAAGGAATTCAACACAAATGCCAAAGTTAGGGTCAAAAGGAAAGTTTATTAAAAAACTAATAATAAATATGAAAGCCCTGGTACATATAAAAATAATAAATATGAAAAAGCAAAGACTAGAGAAAGCAAAGACAAAAACCCATGACAGGAGTGTCAGGGGATCCAGTCTGTCATTCTTTAGTTCCTGTGAGTTAAAGACTTTGTTTACCCATTTCCTTTGATACTAGGCATACTGTGAGAAAGGGGAAAGGGAAGAGTGTGTAGTGTGAAAAGGTAAGAATATGTAGTGTAAAAGGGCGGCTGGTAGTTCCCAGCTCTTAAACCCAAGGTTCCCTATGGTTTTAGCCATAGGGATTGAAATTTTATTTTGTCTAGGGCAGCCAAAGACTTTCCTGTTCCGCCTTTCATAGGTGTGGGAAATAAATTGTTAGCAATCCCAGTAGAAATCTTTGTTCTGCAGGTGTCCTGGCCTGGCTGCAGAGCTGATTAGCATATTGTAGTCTTGAACGGTAGTTTAATTCTTTTGCCGCCTTCCTACATTACTATTCTTAAACCTTTTGAATTAAGCTTGACTTAAATCTTTGGTTACAGAAAATTAACCAAATGAAACAAGGTGACCTCTGTATATTATCGCTCTCCTGTTGTCAGGTTTCATAGGATTTCATAAGGACAAGCAACACTGCAAAAGCAAATGGAAGAGAGCAAAGAACAGGATGACTGTTCGGGAAGGACCAGATTAGGGAAGCAGTCAGGTAAACCCGGGCGTCCCTAGACGCCTCACCGGACAGGGGAGGCCCAGGTAGACCCATTCCATTGCCTAAGCTGTGTCAGCCCCCGTCGTCCCCCGCCTTCGCCCTGGGCGGCTCCATTAAGGATTCAACCGACTTTCCAGCGGCCCTATGCATCCCAGGAATTCCCAGTGCCGGCGCAGTACGAGCTACCTCCTGCGCCGCTGCAGCACCGCCTCCTTAATCCGGGAGGATCCGTCGCCGACCGACTTCCCACCGCCCCGTGCGCTCCGGGCATGCCCAGTGTGGGCGCATCTTGACCCCGCCCCCTCCGCCGCAGCGGCCCCGCC